TTGTTCTCAATGTGTACTGCAGTTGCACGTCGTGTAGAAACGAAAATAGTAACGCGCGTGGGTTGGAGCACGCCTGGTGGAAGTGATGGCGTGGTATCGGCCGTCGCTTTCGAAGGGGCTCATGGTCAAGACGAATGCCGGAATGGCAGCCAAAGTGAGGAAAGGCGTCTTGATAGAACGTCTAGCGCGGGGAGATGGAGCGACTATTTCAGCTCTATGTAACCTGGGGTATTTGTTATCTAATCCATGTCACGCAACGCCATTTCCACACAGCCACAGGTAAATATACACGAACGCACGTGTATTCTTAACGGTCAACGTGGCGTCTATCGCTTTCGGACGTCACCTAACGCCACGTGCGCCTACCACGGCCTGCAATAGGTGACACTGCAATTGAGAGCGACTTTAAAGTGATTCACCCGTTTTTCCTGCGATGTATTTCCATCGGTGGTTATTTCTGCCATCAGCAAACCTTAGCCACCATGGTCAATGCTTTCCCCCATTCATGCCTACGCATAGCTTTCTGCGGGTGAATACGCGTGTGTGTATTTATGTGTGTGTTTACGTTGGCTTAAACTGAAATATGTAACTAATAAGCTTGTGCCGGAGGCCCCGGGGGGACAGGCGTCTATGACGTCTCCTGGCCAAACCCCATTTGGCGGAGCCAGGAGATTGAATGTCTACCCTCGGGGCTCCTCCAGAAATGACGAAAAGCCACTACGGATGGCCACGTGGAATGTTCGAACACTCACTGCGGAGGAGAGGCTGCCACTCCTCTGTCAGGAGCTGGACCGGTACCGCCTGGATCTCTGTGGCATTCAGGTCCGGTGGACCGGTTCTAGCTCCTGCCACCATGAGGGGTGGACAGTCCTCTACTCGGGGCAGCAGACTGCCAAACAACAGGGTGTGGCTCTTCTTTTGAACAAAAGAATGAAGGGGGCGTGGGAGCGTGGCGGTGAGGTGTGGGAAGCTGTAAGCCCCAGGCTACTTTGGGCTCGCCTTCCCATCAACCAGAGGTGAGGAGTGGTGGTCGTGGTTACTTATGCCCCCACCGAAGACGAACATCCGTGGAGGGATGCAGGCAAACCGATGAGTCAGATGCCTTCTATGACCTCCTGTCACAGGTGCTGGCTAAATTGGCACCTCGGGATAGAGTAATCATGTTGGGTGACTTCAATGCCCGAGTTGGTCATGATGCTGGCGCCTGGTCTGGAGTGATTGGAGGGCATGGGCCAGCTTAGCTCAACAACAACGGTAGGAGGCTGCTAGATTTTTGTGCAGCCCATGGGCTTGTAATTACCAACACGCTGTTCCGGCATTGGCGCATCCACACAGCATCATGGATGCATGCCGGGTCCAAGCAAGAACATTTGCTGGACTACATAGTGACGGACCAGCGGATGCGAGCCCATGTCCTTGACACCAGGACCTACCGTGGAGCTGATCTGTCCTCTGACCATCGACTAGTCATCTGTAAGATGCGCCTGCCATTCTTCCACTCCGGTGGTGGGTGTACACCCAGGACCCCATTCCAACCTAAAGTGGCCTGGTCTCAGTTATCTGATGAAAGTTGCAAGCGAGAATTTCATCATCGCTTGCGGCTGGGGTTGGCATCGTCCTCCACTCCTCCTGATGTCGAGGGTAAATGGGCGAGGTTTAGGACTGTGATTTATGCAGCTGCAATGGCTGCTTTGGGTACGCGGTCCAGACCTCCCCAGAGACCCTGGCTGACAGAGGAGGTGTTCAGGATGGTTGAGAAAAAGCGACAGGCCCACTGTCATCGGCTACAGAATCCCACGTCAGAGAATGAGGAGGCTTACCGCAGCCTTCGCTCGGAGGTTCGGAGAGCCGTGAGGCGCTGCAAGGATGGGTGGTGGTCGCGGGTTGCTGAGGAGATGGAGTCTGCCTCAGTGGCCCGCGATCACAAATCTCTATTCAACTCCATCAAAAGAGTAACCTGCAGCGCCACACCTATTACCATCATTAGGGGAAAAAACGGTGATCCAATCTGCGACCCCCAGGAATAGGTTTGCAGATTTTCTGAGCATTTCTGTGAGGTCCTGGGGGAGGGAAAATCCCTCAGCCAGGGAAACATCGTGGCAAAAATTGAGGATGACCCTGCTGAGGCTGCGGTGCCTCAAATATTGGAAGAAGTCACCCCCTGCGAGTGGCTGGCTGAAGTGCCATCTGTTGAGGAAGTACTGAAGACGATCCGGAGTCTAAGACCAGGAAAGGCAGCGGGCAGAGATGATCTCCCAAGCGAAATGCTGACGGAGGGTGGCGTTTGTGCACAGACTGCCCCATATGACATCATAACAACAGTCTGGACCACTGGACGGGTTCCACAGGATTGGAAGGATGCCCTGGTGGTCCCTCTCTTTAAGAAGGGGGACCGCACAGACTGTAACAACTACAGGGGCATCTCACTCCTCAGTGCGCCGGGAAAGGTCCTGGCAAGGATTATTCAACATCGCCTTGCCAGGCACGCTGAGGAGAGGCTTGCGGAGCCCTAATGCGGTTTCAGGAAAGGGCGGTCCTGCACAGATGCCATATTTTCTGTCCGTCTGCTACAGCAGAGGTGTAGGGAATTCCAGCAAGACCTACATCTCTGCTTTATTGACCTGGTCAAGGCCTATGATACCATCAGTAGGCCTGGGCTCTGGGTTGTTCTTCATGCTTTTGGAGTACCTGACCCTCTGCTCATGATCATTAAGGACCTTCATGATGGTGAGCGGGCCCGGGTAAAACTACGTGGCCGGGAGTCAGAGCCATTCCCTGTACACCTTGGGGTGCGACAAGGATGTCCTCTGGCTCCCACATTATTTAACATCTATTTTGACCACGTAATTCGAGAAACCTTCAATAGCTGTACCGGGGGAATCTCCATATGGTACAGATATAATGGGAGGCTGATCGATGCCCAGGTGCGGTCAAGGGATGGCTCCCTATTGCTCAACCATGTTATGTATGCCGATGATTTGGTAATAGCTGCTCATTCAGAGGAGGAGTTGGAGACGCTGCTGCTGAGACTGGAGCGTGCCACTAAGAGATGGGGCCTTACCATCAGCCCCACCAAAACTAAGCACCTGCCTGGGTATTTTGTACCATCGGACACTCCACCCCCACAACTCCCAATCGGTGATGGGGTAGTTGTGGAGAGAGTGGATAGTTTCCTATACCTGGGCAGTGTGCTTATGACCGGCTCCAGTTTAACAGCAGAGGTCTCACTCCGAATCAGTCGAGCGGCAATATATTTTCATCGGTTGCGTAACGCTGTGTGGAAGCTACCTAGTCTGTTGCTCCGCACTAAGCTTCAGGTCTTCTCGGCCACGGTCATTCCCTCCCTTCTCTATGCTTGCGAAACGTGGACCCCCCTAATGGAACATCTTCGCCAGTTGGAAACATTTAGGCTGGCCTGCCTACGATCCATCCTGGGTTTAACCAGGCTGGATTGTGTGAGGAGCTCAAAAATCCTTGAAAGATCTGGGCAAGGTCCCATCAGTGAGCTTCTCCAGCAGGCAAGGCTGCATTGGCTGGGTCATGTAGCCCACATGCCCAGCCACCACATGCCAAAAAAGCTTTTGTTCGGCCGGATCGGGGGGGTTAAACGGGCGCGGCACGGGCTAGAGAAGAGATGGAGTGGTGTGGTACAGGAGGACGTGGAGCTGAGTGGACTTGCCGATGACTGGTACCAGCGGTGTCAAGATCGGCCTCTGTGGAGGAGGCTCGTGAAGGACGCTATTGGGCAGTTGGAGGCAGTCGCCCTCCAACAACAACGAAGGGCGGAGGAGCGACGCTCACAACATCGAGCGGAGCGCCGGGTGGCTAAAGCACAGCAGGTTGGCACAGTAGGGGGCACAGGTGGTGCATCAGCCAGTCATCTCAGTCATCTTAGTCAGTCGACCCGTAGCACTTGGGTCTGCCCCGTGACCTCCTGCCCGCGGGCGTTCGACACTTCACGTGGCCTCAAGGTGCACATGGCCTGGCACAAGCGTCGTGGTGACGTCACCGCCACTTAGTGGCAAATGGCGGTTGTTGTTGTTGTTTACGTTGGCTGGGTTGGGTGGGTTACGCGTGTAAACCGCATTGATTGACAGCGAGGAAGAAAACAATGAGATGCATGCGAATGCGATAACGAACATATATCCATGTTTAAAGACATCGCTGTTAATGATAATAACAACAAAACACAAGTTAAATCCGCGGGGCTTGGGCAAAGACTCGTCGTTGGGAAGGGATGATGGCAGACGGTGCAGGGTCGTTGCCAACGGAGAGGACATTTCGCCCGTGGGGGTTGGGTAGGCGGTGGGGGGCACGGCCACGGAGCGATTCCAATCAGCTTCGCGCGCAGGGTGCCGGTTGGGTTATTTCATCGCATTGCTGGCTGTGAGAGATCTCGATGGCACGGGGGAGGCTCTCATCCAGCAGCAGAGTGATCATGGCTGATGGCGATGACGTGGTGGTGTGTGACATCCACCACCCCGCCCCCTTGCGGTGTGACGTCACGGCCTTCGCAGGCGCTCCTCGCTCACAGCACATGCCCCAGAAATCTGTAAAAATACCGCGTGGGCGAATCGGTGTCCCCGTGTGTTACGTATGCACCTACCGGTACTTCTCCGAACGTTTTAACCTGGACCAACATTCGGTATGTTTTAGTATAAGGGCCAGTGAACTTGGACCTCGGGACAAAATAGGTTTTATACCAAGACTCGCACCTTTCCATTCCGCGACCCGAGTTCGGTTCCTGTTCACGGTCAACACCATTGACAATTTTCTGAACCGGTCCTGGGCTTCCCCTAGGTCGACTCAGCCTCAAGTGAGTATCCGGGTGCTATGCGAAAATATCGCCACTCGGGAGACAAAGGCGGCACGGCGCGGTGCTGTGGCCACCCACCACCCTCTCGCGTGCCGTGCTTACGTTCGCTAACAGCACTTGCCCCAACTCTGTGAAGGCTACACGGGAGATCTCTGTCTTTTGATACCGTTCTATGTGTGTGGGTGTGTGTCCGTGTGTTCATGTGTACGTACAGTGCTGAACACGCTGCGGTCTCTGCCCCTTATCAGCTTGCAGCGAAGGTTCCTGTTTCAGACTCGGCGCTCAAACGCAGCACAAAAAGAACCAGGCAGGGCTCCAGCGCCATCCAGGACCCTCACCCAGGACCCACGACGCCTGCGTGGCCAGGGGCCCCTTGAAGCGAGTGGCAGAGGGAGGGTCGGAGACAGCTTCGAGAGCCCGGGCATGGAGCCGGGTGCGGGAGTCGGTCACGGTGAGACTCGCAGAGACACAAGGAGCACTTGTAGCGAGTGCTTCTAGCGGGCACCTTTGAAGACTAACACACACGGCACAGGCCAAGGATCAGTTCAAATAGTCATCGCTGGTGTTGGTGGGCGTTGGGCGGTAATCAAACTCGGCTTGCTGGGTTCGTAGCGCAACATACGAATCAAAGAGAGACACACACACGCGCACAGAAAGGCAAACACATACATATACGGTACATATATACGTCTATGTGTCTGACATTGGAAGGCACGCGGACAGTCTGCAGAGAGACACACGCGCGTACAAGCAGATATATGCGCAGGTATTGAAAGAACACACAGATCCGAAGGGGCGCATGGAAGAGTCACTTCGAGACAACGACACGTGTCTATGTACATGCAGACATTATTCGCAGACAAACGGACAACCACGGCCGATCGCCACTAAGTGGCGGTGACGTTCCCAAGGCGCTTGTGCCAGGCTAGGTGCGCCTCGAGGCTAAGTGAAGTGTGGAAGGCTCGCTGTTGGCAGGACATCACGGGACAGACCCAGGTTGTCATGGGTTGACCGACTGAGACGACCGACAGATGCACCATCTGTGCTACCCAGCGTACGATCTGGTGGTCTGGCCAGCAGTACGACCAGCTGATGTTTACACACCTCAACATACTCTCATTTAGGGTTGAGCAGACCTAGGGGACACCACTTGATAATTAATTTAAAAATACGGTTCTTACTTATCCAGGACTTTTTTTCGGAAGGGTCCTGCATTGGGTTATTTTTATTTTAAGATGTTTTCAGATAATGAATAATAGGAAACCGAAGCACCCGTAGAAAATCCACATGCACGAGGAAGCAACACTGCATCCCCGTACAAATGTAACCAGTTGGCGATTAGTAGTTGCACAACAGCTGTGTGTGCTCTACTAACCCTCGCTGCCTCGGCAGTGCTGGATTACAGGCCACGTGCATGGCCACCACCACCGCCCATAGTACCGGTGAGTGTACACGTGTTGCACGTGACGCAGACAGCATGGCTCAGCGCGTGCCACGTGGGTCGTATTCAACAATCATCGGGGCCGTGCAGTGTGGAAATACTTGATATGTATTTGAGTGGGAAAACATTGGTTAATGCGGAATTTTGTAGCATGTTGGGTCGTGAGAACTAGAGTTTTGTAAAACCATGATACTTATTACGTGATGATTATACGTTCGTGTAGGATCACATCCCAATGTGAACAGGGAATCGCTCTGTCTGCCAATCACGCAGCTTTACCAGAATCCTCCGCACAATTCCTGCAGGTCCTGAACGACCACGAGCAGCGAGGATCAGAGAGAGAGAGAGAGAGCGGAGGATCACGAAAGTGTGAAGTGTATCCCACATGACCTGGCTTTTCGATGGCATCGTAAGCCGTGACCAGCTCACGAAAAAAATCGGTGGCGTAACCAACCGCGCGCTTGACCCAACGCTCGCACACCTCTCGTCACGTGCAACCAAAACCCCTCCGACCCCCCCCCCACACCCTGGCAGGCCGCGCCAGGGACGTCAACGACCCGCTGGTCCCAGTTGCGGACATTCTGTACGCGATGGTGAGCCAGACATCGGAGAGGTCGTCCAAGCGCCACCCGGTGCAGTCCTCGCCTCGCGGGCCCGCAGGCGGCGGCCCGTTCAGTTCCTCGTGGCCCCGGGAGCAGCAGGGCTCCTCGCGCGACGACTCGGCGCCACTGCCACTGCCAGGAGGCAGGGTCAGATACGCGACTCTGGCGAGCGACGGCATGGGGAGGCAAGGTTCCAGCGCCCTGCCCCCGTTGCCCAGTCTACTCCGTGACCCCGCGGTAGCCGGCACCCTGTCCACGCGACTCAGCAACCTCCCCCGAGCCCCCCGCGTGCAACCCAGCACCCGGCCCCCCGTGCCGAGCATCCTGCAAGGTCCCCCCATGCATCCCGCCACCAGCGCCCTGCCTCCGTTGTCGAGCCCCCTTCACGACCCCGCTGTGGGCTGCAGCAGCACCCTGCCCGCGCTCCCGCGACCCAGCTACCTCCTGCGAGGCCCCGGGGTGCAACCCAGCGGCGGTGGCAGCGCCCTCTGCGTGCTGCATCACTTCAAGAGCGGCGCGCAGCCGGGCAGCGAGAGCGTTCCATACGGGGAGCAGAGCACCGTGCAGGTGCGTGCTGTGGGCGCGCGCGCGTACACACTGCACCTGCTCCGCGTACACACTGCACCTGCTCCGCGTACACACTGCACCTGCTCCGCGTACACACTGCACCTGCTCCGCGTACACACTGCACCTGCTCCGCGTACACACTGCACCTGCTCCGCGTACACACTGCACCTGCTCCGCGTACACACTGCACCTGCTCCGCGTACACACTGCACCTGCTCCGCGTACACACTGCACCTGCTCCGCGTACACACTGCACCTGCTCCGCGTACACACTGCACCTGCTCCGCGTACACACTGCACCTGCTCCGCGTACACACTGCACCTGCTCCGCGTACACACTGCACCTGCTCCGCGTACACACTGCACCTGCTCCGCGTACACACTGCACCTACTCCGCGTACACACTGCACCTGCTCCGCGTACACACTGCACCTGCTCCGCGTACACACTGCACCTGCTCCGCGTACACACTGCACCTGCTCCGCGTACACACTGCACCTGCTCCGCGTACACACTGCACCTGCTCCGCGTACACACTGCACCTGCTCCGCGTACACACTGCACCTGCTCCGCGTACACACTGCACCTGCTCCGCGTACACACTGCACCTGCTCCGCGTACACACTGCACCTGCTCCGCGTACACACTGCACCTGCTCCGCGTACACACTGCACCTGCTCCGCGTACACACTGCACCTGCTCCGCGTACACACTGCACCTGCTCCGCGTACACACTGCACCTGCTCCGCGTACACACTGCACCTGCTCCGCGTACACACTGCACCTGCTCCGCGTACACACTGCACCTGCTCCGCGTACACACTGCACCTGCTCCGCGTACACACTGCACCTGCTCCGCGTACACACTGCACCTGCTCCGCGTACACACTGCACCTGCTCCGCGTACACACTGCACCTGCTCCGCGTACACACTGCACCTGCTCCGCGTACACACTGCACCTGCTCCGCGTACACACTGCACCTGCTCCGCGTACACACTGCACCTGCTCCGCGTACACACTGCACCTGCTCCGCGTACACACTGCACCTGCTCCGCGTACACACTGCACCTGCTCCGCGTACACACTGCACCTGCTCCGCGTACACACTGCACCTGCTCCGCGTACACACTGCACCTGCTCCGCGTACACACTGCACCTGCTCCGCGTACACACTGCACCTACTCCGCGTACACACTGCACCTACTCCGCGTACACACTGCACCTACTCCGCGTACACACTGCACCTGCTCCGCGTACAAAGATCCCACGTCTAGTCTGAACAGGATGTTGGGGTGAGTGCCGTTCGCGAGCACCTACGAAAGGCCGGCACGGCGCACGAGGGGGTGGGTGGCCGGTAACCACGCCCGGCCGCCTTTGTTTCCCCAGTGGCGATGTTTACACATCGCACCAGGTACTCATTTGATGCTGAGTCAACGTAGGGGATGTCGAGGACCGGTTCAGATAATCGTGACTCCACACACACACACACACACCTGCCTCACTCCCCACACACACCTGCCTCACTCCCCACACACACACACACACCTGCCTCACTCCCCACACACACCTGCCCCACACACACACACACACCTGCCTCACTCCCCACACACACCTGCCTCACTCCCCCCACACACCTGCCTCACTCCACACACACACACACCTGCCTCACCCCCCCCCCACACACCTGCCTCACTCCACACACACACCTGCCTCACTCCACACACACACACACCTGCCTCACCCCCCCCCCCACACACCTGCCTCACTCCACACACACACACACCTGCCCCACACACACACACACACCTGCCTCACTCCTTACACCTGCCTCACCCCCCACACACACACCTGCCTCACTCCCTACACACGATCTCTGTAACAGTCTATTGGGGCAAGTGCTGTTAGCGAACACCTATTACGTACTCATATGCTTGTGTACGCCTCGTGCATATCCCTGTTTCACTCTCGTGTACCTGTATAGTCATGCACACATCTGTGTTTATCTGTGTTGATTTGTGTTCACCCGTCAGCACACCTGCATGTGTCAGCGATTAGTCACATGTTGTCTTACTTGTACACTACTTGTGTATAGCCATGCGCATATCCCTGTGTTTACCTGTTTTCCTACACCCGTCTCCACCTGTTCACAAACCTCAGTATACTCGTGTTCACCCGTGTTCCACTCGTTCACACACCTGCATTTCCCTGTGTTTCACCTGTACACACACTTCACGTACCGTGTTCACCCGTGTTCGCTCGTGTTTCATCCATTCACACATCTGCATGCACCCGTTCACACACCTGCATGTACCTGTGTTTACCCGTGTTCCACCCATACACACACACACGCATACTTGCGCGTACACGTTCACACACACACACACACCTGCGCGTACCCATATCGTTCACCTGCGCGCGTGCACACACACACCTGCGCATACCCGTGTCGATCACCTGCGCGCGTGCACACACACACATACACCTGCGCGTACCCGTGTCGTTCACCTGCACGCGCGTGCACACACACACACACACCTGCGCGTACCCGTGTCGTTCACCTGCGCGCGTGGACACACACACACACACCTGCGCGTACCCGTGTCGTTCACCTGCACGCGCGTGCACACACACACCTGCGCATACCCGTGTCGTTCACCTGCACGCGCGTGCACACACACACACACACCTGCGCGTACCCGTGTCCTTCACCTGCACGCGCGTGCACACACACACATACACCTGCGCGTACCCGTGTCGTTCACCTGCACGCGCGTGCACACACACACACACCTGCGCGTACCCGTGTCGTTCACCTGCACGCGCGTGCACACACAGGACTTGGTGGACGCGATGCTGCATGCGCGGCCGCACGCGCGCGCCATCGTGGGGCTGTTCGCGCTGCGCGAGGCCCACGTGCCCACGCGCGCCTCCCGATGGCTGCCGCACACGTTGCTCGTGCGAGATGTGCGCATGAGTCACGTGTCGCCACTGCTGTGCAGGTGAGGAGAAACGGGGGGGGGGGGGGGGAGAGTGACCCCAAGCTCCCCCCCCCACCCTAAACACGTGCCCGCTCAACCTGAACTCGCCCATCAGAATGTGTATTTCCACTGGAGGAGGAATCCGGTTAGCGATAAAGCTCTTTTTTTGACAGATGTCCAGTCGGGGCACGGTGTCAGAACATTACAATAACAAACGATACAAAAAAACACGATATGAGTGCAAAGTATAGGAAAGGTAAGGAAATCACTTCAAAATAAATACAAATGAAACTAAACATTTATTTTGTAGATCACCAGGTAAAGCCCACCGAGCGACTAACCTCTGTTTCAGAAGCGACCTGGCTATCACAAATGATAGCTCAACGAAGTGGCTTATCAGGTGGACATTTATAGCAACCAAATCATCTAAATAATCGAACCCCCCACCGGTACCGATCCAGGCTGTTGTGATGACAGCCCTCTCCTCGGATCCGCAGGTACGACCTGCGGATCCGATATCTGCCCAAGGGGTTCTGGGACGAGCTGGTCAAGAACCCGGTGCTTCTGACCTACCTGTACCAGCAGGTAAGTTGCGGCAACCTGCCCCCCCCCCCCCAAACACACCTGGACGCGTCGTGGAGCGTGTGGATGCTGTGAGCCTTGTCTCTGTGTGGCGCTGTACCCGGTAGTGTCGCGGTTTGCGCTACGCTGCGCTACGAACCTGGCGACCAGAGTTCGATGCCCGCTCACGGCCAACACCCAGTGACGACTTTCTGAATCGGTCCTGGGCCTACTCTAGGTCGACTCGGCTTCAAATGAGTACCTGATGCGGTGGTGTAGTAAACATCGTCACTCCGGAGACAAAGGCGGCCGGGAGTGGTGTGGGCCACCCACTCCCTCGTGCGCCGTACCGGCCTTCATAGGTGCTCGCTAACAGCACTTGCCCCAACAGTCTGTTCAGGCTATACGGGGGATCTTTGTCTTTGGCGCTGTACCAGGAGTGGAATGCGTTCCACGAGGAACACGTGGAGAGAGAGTCGGACGGCATGGCGCTGCAGCTCGGCTGCCTCAACATCCAGTAAGCCCCGCCCCTTTCACACGGTGACCACGCCCACTCGGCCCACAGCCCCCGCCTCTTCAAAGAGTGACCACGCCCACTCCACACATCGGCCCACGCCCCTTCCCGCAATGACCACGCTACTTCACTCACAGGCCCCGCCCCCTTCCCACTGTGCGTTTCGGCTATGATTGTTTAATGCCTGGTGTGGTGAGTTGCGTAATATTCCTTAAGGGCCCTGCTGTGTCGTTCTCTGCAATACGTATCGATGTTTTGTCTTTGTTGTTGCTGCTGCTGTGCTCACCGGGCAACTGGGTTAGCGGCACCATCCGTGGAACGAATGAAAATAAACAACAACAAAAAAACACTTCAGCAGGATCCTCCTGCATTGGGATGTTTTTAATCTTAAGATTTTTTCGAGCCAATTAACGATGAGTCGTGTTCATTTATTCAAGTGTGAATAATGAACACGACTATGTGTGATCTATCAACCCTCGTTGCTGCAGCTGCCTTCACAGTTCGACATTGGGGGGGGGGGGGGGGGTTACAGGCCAGCCACGTGCAAAGTCACGGCGAACCGGCGGGCCCTGCCGCGATAATTTTTCCAGTTCCCTTTTCTAGAGCTGGCGCAGAGTCCTCTCGAGTTCCCACCTCCCCTTCCCCCTTGTCGCGTGCGTGCGGACTGACGCAGGCGGACCTGCAACAGCGGCCCGTACAGAATGGGGGACAAGAAGTTCTTCGAGCATCTGGAGTGAGTTGTGACACGTGGGCAAGCCGTGGGCAGGGCTCCTTCCTTCGCCTTGTCACGCGAATCGTTCGGTGGTGACGCTTCTCGCGCGCTGACAAAACGACGCTCGACGCATTCGTTAGGGGCCGTCCATAAATGACGTCACGCGATTTTTGACGATTTTTTACCCCCCCTCCCTCGTCACACGGCGTCACAAAAAGTCAGACCCCCCCCTCAAATATGACGTCACAAAGCTCTGCCCCCCCAAACTATATTTGCATTTTTAAAATGAAACATGCTTTACATCGCTTTAAACTATTGTCATTGTAGTGCGTATTTAATGTGGCGCTGCACTCTGATGTTGTAGGAGAAAACATTTATTAAAAAGTCTATTTAATTAAGTAGAACGTGTTGTCTATATTTATTTAAAGTTGCGCGTTTTGATGTGACGTCACAAACCCCCACCCCTCGTCACACATCGTCACAAATGTCTGACCCCTCCCCCCCCTGGGTGCGTGACGTCATTTATGGACGGCCCGTTAAAGCAACACTCCGCGTGTGTGTGTGTAGGTCTGCGTGTGCGTCCTTAACAGGAACTATATATAAAATAGGCGACTTTTCGGGCAATGGCCAATTCTTTCTATCACTGGACAGGTCATGTCCCCAGAGGAGACCAGACCAGAGGTCACAACAAAACAATCGTCAGCGTCGTTGGGGAGAATAAAAGTGAGACGATAAATACCCATAACCCTTCCCATATTTCTTTCCTGTCGTATTTTCCCACATTGTATTTTTGAACACCGGCCGCACGCCTTTTTCTGCACGGCAGTGCACCATTCTCAGCGGAAATGCTTCAATACAAGCAAACTCTGAGCCGCTTTCGACATTCAGTATCTCATCAGCAGAGTGAGAGGGGCAGGGGGCACACAGCTCCGGCCTCTTCTTTGGGACGGCAAAGGGAGGGGGTGGGGGGGGGGATCCCCCGGATCCCCAGCACCACGTGACCTCCCGCCTTGCTCCCCCCAGGCACTCGGAGCGGGGTCTGCGTGCGTTCTTCCCGGAGTCTCTACTCACCACCATGAAGGTGACGCAAGCAACTCTCACGCAGCCGTCATGCAACTCTAGTGCAACTGCCACGCAACCTTCATGCAACTGTCACGCAACACTCATTCAACCTCATACAACCTCACGCAACAGCACACCTTCACGCGCAGTCTCACACAACCACATTTCGCAACCTCGCACACGACTCGAAAATCACACCCCGTCTCACGCGACCTCACGTGACCTCGCGCCATGCGGGTTGCCTGTGCAGGTGAAGTTGCTGCGGCGCCAGGTGCAGGAGGTGCTGCGTCTGTATGCGGGACTCACCCAGGAGCAGTGCATGGAGCGCAGCCTGCGCCTGATGGCAGCCGTGCGGCCCTTCTACGAGGAGCGCGTGCCCTGCGAGCTGGGGGTGCGGGATGGGGGTGCGGGTTGGGGGTGCGGGATGGGGGTGTGGGACGGGGGTGCGGGATGGGGGTGCGGGTTGGGGGTGCGGGATGGGAGTGTGGGACGGGGGTGCGGGATGGGGGTGCGAGTTGGGGGTGCGGGATGGGGGTGTGGGACGGGGGTGCGGGTTGGGGGTGCGGGTTGGGGGTGTGAGTTGGGGGTACGAGATGGGGGTGCGAGTTGGGGGTGCGGGATGGGGGTGTGGGACGGGGGTGCGGGATGGGGGTGTGGGACGGGGGTGCGGGATGGGGGTGTGGGACGGGGGTGCGAGATGGGGATGCGAGTTGGGGGTGCGAGTTGGGGGTACGAGTTGGGAGTGCGAGTTGGGGGTACGAGTTGGGGGTACGAGTTGGGGGTGCAGGATGGGGATGCGAGTTGGGGGTGCGAGTTGGGGGTGCGAGTTGGGGGTGCGAGTTGGGGGTGCAGGATGGGGGTGTGGGATATGGGGTGCGAGTTGGGGTTCTGGGTGTTAGGTCCATACTGCTGCTCCCACCTCCCCGCCTCCCCCACAGAACGAGTGGCCCGTGCAGGTGCAGCTGGTGATTGGACCCGAAAGCGACATCAGCTACTCTACAGACACGACCGCCGAGGTGGGAGCACCTGTCCACCCACCCCTCACCTGCCCACCCCTCACCTGTCCACCCCTCACCTGTCCACCCCACCCCTCACCTGTCCACCCCTCACCTGTCCACCCCACCCCTGTCCACCCCACCCCTCACCTGTCCACCCCACCCCTCACATGTCCACCCATCCCTCACCTGTCCACCCCACCCCTCACATGTCCACCCACTCCTCACCTGTCCACCCCTCACCTGCCCACCCCTCACCTATCCACCTCACCCGTCCACGCCATCCCTACCCATCCTCACGTCTCACCTGCCGCTCGTGCACCTAACCTTGACTCTTCGCCCCTCTTCCCCCCACCCCCTCACTTTCCACCCCCCCCCCCAGCCGGTGCTGCTGGCGCGCCTGGACGCGGTGTGCAGAGTGGAGGCGGTGCAGCGAGCGGAGCGAGACTGCGTGCAGCTCCGCCTCAGGGACTCGGGCACGGTGAGGCGCGCCACGACTCTCGCCGCTCACGCACGCACAGACGGTGGGGGTGGGGGGTCGTGGGGGTTTCAATCCTAGATTGACCCCTCCCCTCGCCCGCAGTGTAATCCAGCAGTGGATTGACCACAGCTGGTGATGATTCCCTGCCGTGGGACCACTTTAGCCAACGCCTGGGAGAGGAGGTAACCAGAGGGCACCCGACTCATCAGCCTTGCCTGCTTCACGGCCAAGGTCGGCGATGATCTGGCCCGTTCCTGGGCCTCCCCTAGGTTGACTCAGCCGTGTATGAGTGCCCGGTTCGCTGTGTAAATCGTCAGCACTGGGGAGACAAAGGCTGGCCGGACATGGCTGCGGCCACACCACCCGATAGCACTTGACCTAACAGCCTGGTGTAAACTACACGGGGGGTCTCTGTCTTTGTGTCTTCATGTATTCGTGTGTATGTATTCATGTTTGTCTGTGTTGCGTGTGTGTGCTCCTCCCGCGGGGAGATGTGGTGCAGCGGTTAGCACGCTGCGCGACGCACCCGACAGACCGAGATCGATTCACGCTCACGGGCCACCAACATCAGTGACGCAATTGTCTGCACCGGTCTTGGGCATCGCCTAGGTCGCCTCAGCCTCAAATGAGTACCTACACGGAGGATCTGTGTGTGTCTCCCAGCCGCTCATTCTCCTGGTCCGGGGATCGTCCGAGGCCGAGTCCCTCTCCACGCTGCTCGACGGGCACTGCCGCGTGGCCCAGGGCGGCGTTGACGGGGGGGTCCCCTCGCTGCTGGGGGCTGGGGGGCCCAGCGGAGCGTTCGGTGAGGGGGGGGGGGTACCCCCGAGCACCTCACACGAACCCAAATTTGAAAAAAGTGGCGTTTTTTAACGTAAAAAAACCCGCCACTTTTTAAAACCTTTCTTGCTGTGGTTTTCACACCTGATGATGATTGCTTGTGTTGCAGTTGAAACGTCGTGATAATTTTATTGTTTTATATTTTTATTATTTTATTGTTTCCCTTCTACGTGGCTTTACCGAAAGAACCAAGAACACGTTCTACTTAATTTAATAGACTTTTTAATAAATGTTTTCTCCTACAACATCAGAGTGCAGCGCAACATTAAATACGCACTACAATGACAATAGTTTAAAGCGATTTGAAGCATGTTTGATTGTTTGGGGGGGGGGGGGGGCAGAGCTTTGTGACGTCATATTTGGTGAGGGGTCTGACTTTTTGTGACGCCGTGTGACAAGGGGGGGGGGTCAAAAATCGTCCAAAATCGCGTCACGTCATTTATGGACGGCCCCTTAGCCCATCGCGCTTTGCGAGTCAGTACTATATAGGTATTCACCAGTGTTAGTTTAAATTCGCTTGCGAGTCGCTCGCGGAGGGCCGACGTCTAACTGAGCGATGCGCATTTTTTGAGATGCGAAATGCAATTCTGACGTGGAGAGATCCGACTTGTGGCGCGCGGCTGCATCAACAGGACCCAGGGCGAGTGTTTGTAGGGGTGAGTCACAGCCCGGCCAGACAGCACCAACGAAATGTAAACCCACTGCGGTGAACCGGTTAACCGAATCGATTTGAATTTTGCGTTCGCTTCCACGCCTCCCTTTAGCTCCGGAGCAGCAAATGTCAAAAATTTTGCCAATAATTTCGGTGTCTGGTTCGACTTTATTATTATTGTAATTTAATAATAGTGATGTGTGTGTACTGTATGTGCTGTGTGTACGTACGGTGTGTATACTGTGTGTGTATGTACTGTGTGTACGTACGGTGTGTGTACGTACTGTGTACGCATGGCACACTGGGTGGAGTGTGAGGACAGAGAGAGAGAGACCGCAGGGCACTTCTTCACTTCCCTTCCCTCTCCCACATCCTCGCCATCCTCTCACCCGGCTTCCTGCTTGGCCCGGTCACACGCCAACCCGGGCCGCTCCACCACCCCGTCCATGCTAGCCCAGCACAGCCCAAATGAAATCCACGGTAGCCTCTCAACCCACGCTCGCCTCTCAACCCATGCTAGCCTCTTCGATGAGCACGGTTGGCTACGTACGGTGCGAAAGAAGTTCCAACGTACATACATAGCTCATGCTAGCCCAGCACAGCCCATCCTAGCCCAGCAGCCTAGTGCACAGTCTAGGAGCTCACCCCCGGACCAGGAGTCGAACCCTCATTTAAGGGGGAGTGGGTCATGAGAGCCAAACGGGGGTGGGGGCGGGGGGGTGTGGGGGGGGGGGTACCGGTGTCGATCCCCTGCGCGCGGCGCGTGCCACTGTCTGTGTGCGCGTCATTGTTTGCGGGTGTGTCCGTGTGTGAGTGAGTGAATCTGTGTGAGCGAGTCGGCGTGGTTGTGTGTGGTTGTGTGTGGTTCGGTGCCTTTGAGAGTGTCTGTGTGGGTTTGTGTGTGTGCGCATTTCTCGGTGTGCGATTGTGTCTGAGTGCCTGTCCGAGCGAGCCCGTATGTGTGAGTTTTTTGAGTATTTGTCAGAGTGTCTGTGTGCATTTCTGCGTGTGTTTGTGTGGACGAGGTGCTCGCAAATCGCACTTGGCCCTAAAGTACTTTAAGGCTATACGGGGTATCTTTGTCTTTGTACCCGTGACGATGCGTGGCTGCCCTCGTACAGACGCCGACGATTACGCCGAGATCCCGGACGATGACAGCACGTACTGCTGCCTGCCTGGTGCGTGTCCTCTACACACACCACGCACTGCACACCCTACACACCACGAACTGCACACACCACGCACTGCACACCCTACACACCACGCACTGCACACACCACGCACTGTACACCCTACACACCACGCACTGCACACCCTACACAGCACGCACTGCACACCCTACACACCACGCACTGCACACCCTACACACCACGCACTGCACACCCTACACACCACGCACTGCACACACCACGCACTGCAGAAACCACGCACTGCACACACCACGCACTGAACACCCCACGCACCATGCACTGCACACCCCACACACTGCACACCCCACGCACCATGCACTGCACATCCCACGCATCACGCACTGCACACACCACGCAACTCCAGGCGCTCCACACCCCGTGGACCATGACCACCACTCGCAACGCACACCCCGCACCCCATGCACTGTGAACGCCACGTGCGCCTCGCGCCACCCACCATACACCACCTCGCCCACCACACACCACCTCGCCCACCACACACCACCTCGCCCACCACACACCACCTCGCCCACCACACACCACCTCGCCCACCACACACCACCTCGCCCACCACACACCTCCTCGCCCACCACACACCACCTCGCCCACCACACACCACCTCACGCCGTGCTCCCCACACCCCCCCCCGTGTCACCGAAAGCGCGCCGAGGAGAGGTGGCGCGCGCCAGCGTCCGCGTCTCCGAGTGCCTCGGGGAGGGCCAATTCGGGGACGTGCACCGCGGGGTCTACACCGACGAGGTCAGGCCACGGGGACCCCCAGGGGACTCCCAGGGGACCCCCCAGGGGACTCCCAGGGGGACCCCCAGGGGGTCGCGGGCTCATGGGGGGGGGGACACAGCGGGGTCTTGCAGACACGAACTCAGGGGGACGCGGGCTCAGGGAGGACATCGGGAAGTGAGGACCCAGGGACATGAGCTCTATCTCAGCACATCCGATTAGCACGGTTGGCTACGTACGGTGGGAAAGAAGTTCGACGTACATACATAGCGCATGCTAGCCCAGCAAAGCCCATCCTAGCCCTTACATCTCGGTGACTCGATGAACCTGTATCTCTCCGTTTCCCTGACAATCTGACTCTCCGTCTCCCACTCTCCCCCCGCCGACTCTCCATGTACCTCTCTCGCTGTGTTTCTCCATCTGCATGACTCTCTAACTCTTAATTTATGTGGCTATTTCTCTCTCTCTCTCTCTGTTCCTGTTTACCCCTCTATCCATCCGATCATCTGACTGCAGTGCCCCAGCCCAGGCAGAGACCCCCGTTCGAATCCCAGGCCACGGCTGACATCCATTGGTGATTAGTCTGAACCGGTATTGGGACTCCCCTAGGTCGACTCAGCCTTAAATGAGTGTACCTGGTACAGTGTGTAGACATCAGCACTGGGGAGACAAAGGCGGACGGGGAAGACATGCTGCTTGCAACACCACCTGCTCTGTGATGCTCTTTGTAGGGTACTGGGGGCATCTTTGTCTGCGTATTTGTCCCGCAGGACGGCGTGGAGGTGCCTGTGGCCGTGAAGACTTGCAAAGATCCCACTGTGTCCAAGGCATTCCTCCAGGAGGCCTGTACGTCAACATCACATCCAACCACATCCATCCACATCATTAACGAGCACATTGCCAACAACAAGATCATCATCATCATCGTTGTGAACATCTTCATCATCAAAAATGCATCTTCATCCACAATTCATTAGCAAATTATCATCGTTGTTTTTATTCATCGTCTTGATCATCGCCACCAGTTGTTATGAACGCTGTGACTGGTGAAGGATAGTGGTTGAGGTACGATGGTGAATATGGTCGCGAGAATGGTGGCATGGTGGAGAGTGTGGTGGTGAGGTAATGAGTTTGGTGGTGAGTGTGGGGGTGAGTTTAGTGGTGAGGTAATGCATATGGTGGTGAGGTAATCAGTAAGGTGGTGAGTATAGTGGTGAGGTAATGCATATGGTGGTGAGGTAATCAGTAAGGTGGTGAGTTTAGTGGTGAGGTAATGCATATGGCGGTGAGGTAATCAGTAAGGTGGTGAGTATGGTGGTGAAGTAATGCATATGGTGGTGAGGTAATCAGTAAGGTGGTGAGTTTAGTGGTGAGGTAATGCATATGGTGGTGAGGTAATCAGTAAGGTGGTGAGTTTAGTGGTGAGGTAATGCATATGGTGGTGAGGTAATCAGTAAGGTGGTGAGTATGGTGATGAGGTAATGCATATGGTGGTGAGGTAATGAGTTTGGTGGTGAATATGGTGGTGAGTTTAGTGGTGAGGTAATGCATATGGTGGTGAGGTAATCAGTAAGTTGGTGAGTATGGTGGTGAGGTAATGAGTTTGATGGTGAGTATGGTGGTGAATTTAGTGGTGAGGTAATGCATATGGTGGTGAGGTAATCAGTAAGGTGGCGAGTATAGTGGTGAAGTAATGCAAATGGTGGTGAGGTAATCAGTAAGGTGGTGAATTTAGTGGTGAGGTAATGCATATGGTGGTGAGGTAATCAGTAAGGTGGTGAGTATGGTGGTGAGGTAATGCATATGGTGGTGAGGTAATCAGTAAGGTGGTGAGTATGGTGGTGAGGTAATGCATATGGTGGTGAGGTAATGAGTTTGGTGGTGAGTATGGTGGTGAGTTTAGTGGTGAGGTAATGCATATGGTAGTGAGGTAATCAGTAAGGTGGTGAGTATAGTGGTGAAGTAATGCATATGGTGGTGAGGTAATCAGTTAGGTGGTTAGTTTAGTGGTGAGGTAATGCATTAGGTGGTGAGGTAATTAGTAAGGTGGTGAGTATGGTGGTGAGGTAATGCATATGGTGGTGAGGTAATCAGTAAGGTGGTGAGTATGGTGGTGAGGTAATGCATATGGTGGTGAGGTAATCAGTAAGGTGGTGAGTTTAGTGGTGAGGTAATGCATATGGTGGTGAGGTAATCAGTAAGGTGGTGAGTTTAGTGGTGAGGTAATGCATATGGTGGTGAGGTAATCAGTAAGGTGGTGAGTATAGTGGTGAGGTAATGCATATGGTGGTGAGGTAATCAGTAAGGTGGTGAGTATGGTGGTGAGGTAATGCATATGGTGGTGAGGTAATCAGTAAGGTGGTGAGTTTAGTGGTGAGGTAATGCATATGGTGGTGAGGTAATCAGTAAGGTGGTGAGTTTAGTGGTGAGGTAATGCATATGGTAGTGAGGTAATCAGTAACGTGGTGAGTTTAGTGGTGAGGTAATGCATATGGTGGTGAGGTAATCAGTAAGGTGGCGAGGTAAGTCGGTGAGGTATTATGCTGAGGTATCCTCATGAGTATGGTGGCTAGGTTATGAACATTTTGGTGAGTATTGTGCTGAGCTATGGGTTGTGAGCGTGTTTCTGAGGTAAGGTTTGATGTATTTTGGTGAGGTAAAGTGGTGTAGAATTTTAGCGAGGTATGGTGGTGAGGTATTTTGGTGAGGCGAGGTGGCGAAGCGACGAGTGTGGCTGTGAGGTAATGACTATGGTGGAAAGGCAAATGGTACGTTGATGAGAATTGTGCCCAGGTATGGTGAGGAGCATGTTGGGGGAGGTAAGGAAGCGATGAGGTAAGTTGGTGAGGTATTACGGTGAGGTATATTTACGAGCACGGTGGTGAGGTAACGAGTGGCGCTGTTGAGTATTATGCCGTGGTGTGCTGGTGAGGTAAAGTTGGCGAGGCAAAGTTGGCGAGTCAAAGTTGGCGAGGCAAAGTTGGCGAGTCAAAGTTGGCGAGGTAAAGTTGACGAGGTAAAGTTGTCGAGGCAAAGTTGGCAAGGCAAAGTTGGCGAGTCAAAGTTGGCGAGGTAAAGTTGTCGAGGCAAAGTTGTCGAGGCAAAGTTGGCGAGGTAAAGTTGGCGAGGTAAAGTTGTCGAGGTAAAGTTGGCGAGGCAAAGTTGGCGAGGTAAAGTTGGCGAGGGACCATGGTGAGCTGTGCCGGTAACGCGCCGCGCTCTCCGCAGACACGATGCAGGAGTTTGACCACCCTCACATCGTCCGCTTCGTGGGCGTCATCGCCGAGGGGGAGCCACAAAGCCTCCTCATGGAGCTCTGCCTCTACGGGGAGGTGAGGCGGCGGTGGGTGAGGGGGGGTGAGGGGGAGTGAGGGGGGGTGAGGGGGGGGGTGGGCGATGGGAGCGGTGAGGGGGGGTGAGGGGGGGTGAGGGGGGGTGAGGGGGGGTGATGGGAGCGGTGAGGAGGGGTGAGGGGGGGTGAGGGGGGTGGTGATGGTGGTGATGATGGTGATGGCGGGGAGCGGTGGTGCAGCGGTTAGCGCGCTGCGAACCTGGCGACCCGGGTTCGATTCCCGCTCACGGCCATCACCAGTGACGATCATCTGAACCGGTCCTGGGCCTCCCCTGGGTCGACTCAGCCTCAAATGAGGAATTGGTGCGGTGTGTAGTAAACATCGCCACTGGAGAGACAAAGGCGGCCGGGCGTGGTGCTGGCCACCCACCGCCTCGTGTGCCGTTCCGGCCTTCATAGGTGCTCGCTAACAGCACTTGTCCCAACAGTCTGGCAAGGCTACACGGGGAATCTTTGTATTCTTGTCATTGATGTTGGTGGTGATGGTGGTGGTGGTGTGCGTGCTCCCAGCTACGCAAGTACCTGCAGACCAATTTTCTGGAGCTGGAGCAAGACCTGCTGCTCTCCTTCGTCTGCCAGATCAGCACGGCACTCTCATACCTGGAGAGCCGCAAGGTGGTGCATAGGTGGGTGTACGGGTCCTTGTTGTCGCTGTTGTTGTTATTGTTGTTGTTATTGTTGCTGTGTCTGGCAGCAATACGTTTAGACGCTAAATGCCAATGTCCCAGATCTGCTAGCCACGACGAGAGGGCTTCAGTAGAGCGAGAGAGTGTTCGTGGAGTTGTGCTGCTCCTTCTTCACTGAAGGAGTGCGGACTGCAGTGGTTAACTCTATGGTCCATACTTTGAGTTGCATGGCCACAATCGCACGACTGGTCTTAAAATTTAAATTTTATGGAGTAGATTTTTGCAGATCGTCGTGTGCTGATGTTCTGATGGTATTGATGGTTCCACTAACCAGTGTCTTCGAGGAGGAATGGTCAGATCCAGGAGGTGTGGAATGTTTGGTTCTCGAATAAGGAGGTGTTAATTATTTTGGACGTCCGCGTTGTTCACTCTGCGCTAAATGCTTTCAAGCTATCTCTATAGCAGTATCTACTCACTCTATAGTAGTATCTACTGACTCCAGTAGCTACTCACCGTAGTAGTATGTACTGACTGTATAGTAGTATATACTGACTGTAGCAGTATTGACTGACTGTAGTGGTATATACTGACTCTTTTAGAATCTTCTAAATCTATATAGTAGTATCTATCAACTCGATAGCAGAATCTACTATCACTACAGCAGTGCATACTGACAGTGGTGGTACCTGCTATGATAACATCAGTGCATACTGTGGTGGAACCTGCTATTATTACAGCAGTGCATATTGTGGTGGTACCTGCTATTACAGCAGTGCATACTGCTGTGGTGGTACCTGCTATGATTACAGCAGTGCATACTGACTGTGGTGGTACGTGCTACGATTACAGCAGTGCATACTGGCTGGTGGTACCTGCTATGATTACAGCAGTGCATACTGACTGTGGTGGTACCTGCTTTCACGACAGCAGTGCATACTGACTGTGGTGGTACCTGCTATGATTACAGCAGTGCATACTGCTGTGGTGGTACCTGCTATGATTACAGCCGTGCATATTGTGGTGGTACCTGCTATGATTACAGCAGTGCATACCGACTGTGGTGGTACCTGCTATGATAACAGCAGTGCATACTGACTGTGGTGGTACCTGCTATGATTACAGCAGCGCATACTGACTGTGGTGGTACCTGCTATGATAACAGCAGTGCATAAGGACTGTGGTGGGACCTGCTATGATTACAGCAGTGCATACTGTGGTGGTACCTGCTATCACTACAGCAGTGTATACCGACTGTGGTGGTAACTGCTATCACTACAGCAGTGCATACCGACTGTGGGGGTACCTGCTATGATTACAGCAGTGCATACTGACTGTGGTGGTACCTACTATGATTACAGCAGTGCATACTGACTGTGGTGGTACCTGCTATGATTACAGCAGTGCATACTGACTGTGGTGGTGCCTGCTATGATTACAGCAGTGCATACTGACTGTGGTGGTACCTGCTTTGTTTACAGCAGTGCATACTAACTGTGGTGGTACCTGCTATGATTACAGCAGTGCATACTGACTGTGGTGGTACCTGCTATGTTTACAGCAGTGCATACTGACTGCGGTGGTACCTGCTATGATTACAACAGTGCATACTGACTGTGGTGGTACCTGCTATGATTACAGCAGTGTATACTGACTGTGGTGGTATCTGCTATGATTACAGCAGTGCATACGGATGGGAAAACGGAATAGCCTATGCCAAGTAGGGGGCTTGGGGCGTGCCGCCCGGCAATTTTTTTTTCTACGCGAACCCCGCGGTTAGAGAGCCAAATTCCTCGCAAGCGTGCGCACACAGACGGACAGACAAACAGACGGACAGACAGACAGACAAAAAATGCCTTTTATAGATAAGATGCTACAGGCCCCGCACTAGCTTAATGCGGCACTGTGGGTAGGCGGTTCGTTTTGGCAAGAAAGCAACGTGTAGACTGCCTTGCAGTTTGCGCGATGTCTCTGCGGGTATTTGGTGGCAGAATGTTCGCCAGAACAGGGAGCCAGTGGATCGCTGTCAGGGTTCCGTTGATGATGCGCATCGCGTTATCTGATTGTGCATCTGGCAGTGTTGCGCATGAGCTCCTGGAGTGCAGGTGATCTACTCTGTCACAGAATAGATCAGTGATAGGGCGGCAGATGGCAGCACATTCAGCTCAGGTGCCTCAGGTTGTCCCCGCAAGGTTCTGTAGCAGCGTGATTCTTGAGATTTTTTTTACAAATCTGTTTTTACGTGGGTCTTTGCAGTGTACAGGTGAGAGCATAGGTGATGTGGCGCATGGGTGAGTGTACAGGTGAGGTGGTGCACAGGCGAGTGTACAGGTGAGCTTCCAAAAGGGGTGTGCACGATTGAGTAGTTAGGTGGTGATAGGCGGGTGCACATGTCACCAACACGATCACCCTCCCGCTGCACGAACCCTGTGACCTCGTGACCCCCGTGTCTCAACCATGACTCCGTAATCCCCATGACCCCTGGCGTTTCTCGTAACTCCGCGTGACTCCGTGTGACCTCACGCGCGCGATCGCTTGCGTGACCCCCCCGCCCGCCCCACCTCGTGACCCCGTGACCCTACGCAGAGACGTGGCGGCGAGGAACGTGCTGGTGGCGGCGCGCGACTGCGTGAAGCTCGGGGACTTCGGCCTCTCCCGCAGTATGGGGGACAGCGAATACTACCGAGGTGAGCGGGTGGCATGGTGAGGGTGGGGGGTGAGGACGAGGTGAGCGGGTGGCATGGTGAGGGTGGGGGGGGGTGAGGACGAGGTGAGCGGGTGGCATGGTGAGGGTGGGGGGGGGTGAGGACGAGGTGATCGGGTGGCATGGTGAGGTGGACAGTGAGTACTTGCGAAGTGTGTGGGTGGGACGGTGAGGGGGAGCTGAGATGTTAAAGTTACTTGACTAAAGTGTTCATTCACAGATATGTCTATTCCACGGTACCCTATTGAATTCAACATTCCCGTAAAATACTGTATGTCCATATGATACACAAAATACTAATGTACATAGCAATATACTAATGTCCACGTGATATACTATATATCATTGCATCTATGATACACATCATACACCAAATTAAACATATACGGTATCTATTTAATAAATGCATTGTGTACCATATAACGGTTCTTTAATTCAACTAAGACAATAAATTTGGTTCCCGGCTCACCGATAATGTTGTAACGCATGCAGGAGAGTTTGGGGGTACTCCACACGTTCAACTTATCCCCGACCTATTTTATTTTCCTTGCCCGCAACTCGAGGCGTTGCGGGTGGTGTGTTTGGTAGCCGTGAAAAGGAGCCTTCATAGCTCATCGGATTCCTCCAGTCTAAATAAAGATTCTGATTATGAAAGATTCTGATTCTGACATCACTCTCCCTACCAACGGGGATTTCACAGCAACAACAATAAACAATCATCGTCCCACGACTGGCAGTTAGGGGTGCCGCGGTGTCGAGATGTTAACTACCTCGCCCGGTATGCAGGAGGTCGTGGGTTCAATCCCGACTGGCGTCTGTATATTTGGAGCTTACGTGTCTCTCTCCCCGTGGCCACGTCGATGTTTCGCCGGGTCCTCCGGGTCCCCCCCCCCCTCCAGATTTATAATCAACGTGCATTCAGAGTATTTGTCCGCTATACATTTATACGTGATGAGCCACTTCCATAAGCTTTATCGTTTGTGATGGCCAGGTCGCTTCTGAATAAAAAGCTACACAGCTCAGTGGACCTTAACTGGTAAAATAAAAAAAGTAAAATTTGCAGTAACAGCTGAATTAGTGGCCCCTAGGCCGCTCCGTAAAAAGCAAATCGTCAGGGTGATGCCTTAACCTCTACCACTATCTCCGTTTCTCCTCTCTCCCCCTCCTTCTCTCCCCCACCCACGTCTCCCCCATGTCTCCCCCCTCCCTCTATCTCTTCCCCCCACCTCTCCCCCTACCTCTCCATCCCCACCTCCCCCCCCCCAACGTCTCCCTCCCCACCTCCCCCCCACCACATCTCTCCCCCACCACCTCTCCCCCCAACACGTCTCCTCCATGTCTCCCCCCCATCTCTTCCCCCCACCTCTCCCTCCCCCACGTCTCCCGCCCCCACCTCTCCCCCCACCTCTCCCCCCCCCCACTTCTATATCCCCACCTCTCCCCCCCCCCCTCCCAACGTCTCCCTCCCCAACTCTCCCTCAGCCGCCAGTAAAAGCAAACTCCCCATCAAGTGGATGGCACCCGAGTCCATCAGCTTCTGCAAGTACACGGCAGCCAGCGACGTGTGGATGTTCGGTACGAGGGGAAGGGACCCCCGATTGGGGGAGAGGGATGGAGGGAGGCTGGAAGGGTGTGTGGGGCAAGGTCTCTCTTCTCTCCCGTCTGTCTGGATGAAGGGAAACCTAAAAGTCCGTGTCAAAGTCAGGAAGCCGGGAAATTGGCTTCAGTTGATGTGCGCTGGGTTGGCCTCGATGCCTCCGTTACATTTTTGGAGGTCAGTGATTCACGACAGTAGCGGATTTTGGCTGGCCATCGAACAGAGACGGCCAACCGCATCGCGCACATTCAGATGCACTTCTGCGGCCGTCTGGAATGCTCTTTCTTCCGATATGAGGAAGCCACCGAGAGCTATGCACTTTTAAATCATCATCGTCTAGAATGATAAACTCATTTCCTTCGAACTGCTTTTTGTGGTTAGTTTGTTGTCCTTCCCCTGCACCTTCGATTTGCACGGTTGGCTACGTACGGTGCGAAATAAGTTCAACATACGGTACATACATACAGGGACTGCGTGGGCTGGCATAGTGAGACGCGTAGACTCGCACGCCCGGAGCTCTATAGGCTCGCAGAATCGCAGCGAGTTCGTAAAATTGCGCGGTCGACGGTTTCTGGTGGGCGTGTCCGCGCCGTGCCGCGAGACGAGCGAGCTGCTGGGTCTCATGTGAGCTCTGACTCCTGAGGTGTCGAGTCCAGGAGGCTTCCGGACTGGGGTAGAGGTGTAGGCGGAGCGGTGGCGCAGCGGTTAGCGCGCTGCGGCGCTACAACGCCCGTCGACCCGAGTTTTACCCGCGCTCACGGCCAACAACACCAGCGATGATTATCCAAACCGGTCCGGGGCTTCCCCTAGGTTGACTCGGCCTCAAATGAGTACCTGGTGCTGGTCACCTACCCCCTCGTGTGCCGTGCCGGCCTTCATAGGTGCTCGCTAACGACACTTGCCCCAGCAGTCTTTTAGGGCTATACGGGGGATCTTTGTCTTTGGGGTGAGGTGTGAGCTTTGAGATGGAGAGCCAATGCAAGGAGGAAATGGGGAAGTGAGGTTATGGTTAGGGGCGGGGGGGGGGGGATGGTGGAGAGGGGGAATTTAAAAATAGTGGGGGCGGGGGGGAGAAAGGAGTGGGGGGGGGGGTGCCGTCGTCGCTGGGCGAAATAATAACCCGGTGACGTTGGGCAACAGAGCCACACGTGGGCCGTGCAGAGTGTCCATGTGTCCTGTAGATACACTACATTATAACCAATGTTAAAGTAAATTATTATTTTTAGCATTTATTTATTGAATGCAATTCATGCGAACTGCATCTCGACGCGCCGTGGAATGTGTAACGCGTGAGGCTTCCGCAGGGGTGCACAGGAAACCACAGACGAGGGGGGCGGGGGGTAAGCAGCCGGAACCGGTGCTAACCAACGATTGCCCAAGATCTGCGGTCCTATATATTTGGACGTTTGGGCCAAACTCCGTCAACGATCGTACATCACGACAATCGGCACGTCGTCACATGCTACGAACACTCACTGATCGGCCGCCAACATCTCCGATTAGCACGGTTGGCTGTGTACGGTGCGAAAGAAGTTCAACGCACATATAGAAACCGCAAAGCTCGGGCATTGTTGGTAGCGCCGACTGGCCACCTGGCGGCTGCTGCTGCTGCTGCCTTCCCGCTCGTGCCTGCTGCGGCTTCCTCGGCGACGATGAGAGATGCGATTTGAATGAATGGCAATGGTGCCGCGGCGGCGAGATGTTAACTACCTCGCCTGGTATACAGGAGGTCGTGGGTTCGATCCCGACCCTGACGCCTGTTGTATATTTGGAGTTTGCATGTCTCTCTCTCTCCCTCCCCCGTGGTCGCGTGGATTTTTCCCCGGGGTCTCCGTTTTTTTTCCACCCCACGTTTAGAATCAACATCACACGCTTAGACAATTTGGCTGCTATAAATGTCCACGTTATAAGCGGCTTCATTGGGCTATCATTTGTGATAGCCAGGTCGCTTCTGCAAAAAAGAGCTATATAACTCAGTGGACCTTACCTCGTAAAATAGAATAGTAACCATGCCATTGTTATATTACTATTGTGATTTGTTATGGTATCGTACCGTGAGAAATTATATCACGGCAACACTGGCGAAGGCGAGGCTCGTGGAGCCAGACTAAGGCGCGGGTTGTTCCCCTCTCGTACCCCCCCCCGACCCCACGCCCACCAGGTGTGTGCACGTGGGAGATCCTGTGCCGGGGAGCGAAGCCGTTCCCCGGGGTGCGGAACGATGAGGTCCTGGGGCGGCTGGAGAAGGGCGAGCGGCTGCCTCTGCCCACCGGCTGCCCCCCCAAACTCTACGGGCTGATGGGGCGCTGCTGGGCGCGCGACCCCACGGCGCGGCCGCCCTTCTCCGAGCTCAAGTGGCAGCTCCAGTTAGCCGCCGCCACCACCACCATTACCACCGCCGCACACACCAGCGTTATCACCACCACCACACCTCGGTCACCACTTTGCGCACCAGCTCAACCACATATACTGGCACCACCACCACCATCACCACCGCACACAGCAGCTCAACCATGCACCCCAGCTGAAGCACACACGCAGGCACCTGCCCGCAGTGAGCCCCCCCTCCACCCCCTCCACCCCCCACTCCCTCCCCGTGTCCCAGGGAGATCCGCGAGGAAGAGAGCGCCCAGGAGGAGCCACGCGTGAAGGGGCCGTGGCGCATGTCCTACGGGGTTGACCCTGGCCCCCCAAAGGTAATAACAGCCTGACCCCCCCCTCGCAGTGTATCTCTACTCAGGCCCGGACTGGCCATAGGGCCGGTGCATTCCTGGAGCCGGTGGGCCGGTCTGTGTGGGCAATTTGCAAATGTGATCAGAGTAGCAAAAGATATTTTAATAAAAATATTGTATTACCTCTAATGTGTACGCTTCGTTGCCTACTCACGGTCTCAGTTGGCATTGAGTCCCCGAATATTCGGGAGCCCCAAATATTATTCCTCACCGGGCCCGCGTTCTTTTGGACACAGCCCCCATATGTGCCCAATGAGATCGCACGGCAAAATGACGCTAAACACTTCGTCACATCGCAACGTCGAACAGGTACTACGTAGCCCCCAATTTGGGCCCGGTGTGTTTCCAAAATGCCTGGGCATATTTTTAGTCCCAGTCCGTCACTGTCCCAACGCCTACCCCCCTCTCACGGGGACCGTTCCAGGGTAACTCTTCCACTAACCTTGCCCATGCAAAAAATGACTTAATCGGTGACAACCAAAAAAACCCCGGTGTAGTCACTGCAGCGCCAGATGCTGCCAACGCCCCGCGTAGTGACGGCTGCCCACTGTGGGGCGTGGGGGGGGGGGGGGTTCTTCAGCTCGACTGCCGCAGAGCGATGGAAGGGTTGAGGAGCTGTGACGTGAGGTGATTTGAGATGCTGAGGAATGTAACCAAGCGGCACAAGACATGCAAATCGTGACATCGTTTAACCTCTTATGTTGTTGTTGACGACGATGATGATGTTGCTGATGAAGATGTTATTGACGATGCTGACGATGTTGATGATGGTGCCCCCAGCCCACCCGCTTGCAGGGCTCACTCTCCCCGGATGTGGACGATTACGCCGTGCCGCTGCTCAATCTGCTGGGGGAGCCGACCCAGGTCCGGTCTCCCCATCCCTACCTCCGCTCCCCCTCATCTCACCGCTCCCTTCCTCCCTCACCACCCGCAACCTCCACCTGCCCGGATGGATTTTTTTTTAGTTTCAGTTGGCTTCGCGTGTCCCAGTGTTCATTCTCATGTCCCCATGTGCCAGTGTCCCTGTGACCGCGTGTCCCCATATCCCCCCCCGCCCCCGTGTTTTGTCCCCGCAGCCCGGGCCGAATGCGTCGTTGCTGCAGGACGAGCTGCTGCTGCTGCAGAAGGCGGCCATGGTACGGGATGGACTGTGGCTCCACGGGGTGAGGCGATGCCACTCGGAACGCACCAGCCACTCGCCACCCACTCACCACCCACTCGCCACCCACTCAACACCCACTCACCAGCCACTCGCCACCCACTCGCCACCCACTCACCACCCACTCACCAGCCACTCGCCACCCACTCGCCACCCACTCAACACCCACTCACCACCCACTCGCCACCCACTCACCACCCACTCAACACCCACTCACCACCCACTCACCACCCACTCGCCACCCACTCGCCACCCACTCACCACCCACTCGCCACCCACTCACCACCCACTCACCAGCCACTCGCCACCCACTCGCCACCCACTCGCCACCCACTCACCACCCACTCGCCACCCACTCAATACCCACTCGCCACCCACTCACCACCCACTCACCAGCAGTGTATGTTTGATATATTTCAGAATCAGGATATTTAGAGTGGAGGAATCCGATGAGCTATGAAGCTCTTTTTCACAGATGTCCAGTCGGGGCAGGTCAGGAAGTTACAATAGAAACACCGATAGGAGTGCAAAGTAGAGAAATGGTAAGCAAGTCACTAAATATAAATAACGTATATGATTACATATTCCATAAGTAAATACATTCATGCCGATTTTTCAACACTAAATGCAAACTACTCATTGTTTTTTTCGGTAAAGTCACGTATGTAGAAATATTTTATGGTATTTCTACATACGTGACTTTACCGAAAAAAACAATGAGTAATTTATGCAGTCACGAAAGCTTTAATTCTTTACTAAATGCAAACTTTGGGCAAAGGCAGGAAAACAGCAACAGTCCCAGACCACACCAAGACAACAGTACACAGTAGTAGTGGTAGTCCCTCAATAAAAAATGCAAATTAACATTGAACTACTGTATCGATTATAATGAAGGTGTTGGGGTTAGAACGCGTTATTTATAAATGTGTCGCAACCCTCCACCACCCGACACGGCCAATCAGTAAAAAATGTGTCACGTTAACAAAACGCCAATTAGTTCCTCCTTCAGCCCACCGGTGTGTATCGATACAGCACGGAGGGAAAAAAAATGTGAAGTGAAACTAGTCACGAAATAATTGGACAACAAAGCATTTGTTATATTTTCTGTTAGCGATGACCGTGAGCGGACGCAAATAACCGAGCTCAAGGGCGACCAACTTACGTAGCGCCCAGGGGACTAACCACGTCGAGGCTGGGCCTGAGATCCTGTACGGGTGGCGAGACTCGAGCCTACGGCGGCACCTCGGGAAGACCGAACATGGCCATTGGGCCCCTTCTTACTTTTATGAGACCACCTTTGCCAGTAACATGATATAGTAATATATTTTACCCTTTTAACTGGCACAAAAACTGACACCTTTATTCAAGGCATCATGTTTGCAATAACCACAACACAAGCAGTTAAAAAGGGTAAAACCTATTACTACCCCTTCGTACTGTGCAGGGCGGGCCAAAGGTCAGGACACATCGGATTGTATTGCATGTATATACAAATCACGCATATAGGGTTGTTTGATTGAGTGTTTAACTAATGTTCCAAAGTGACTGCCATTAACGTTAAATGCACGATCCATATATTCTCTTTTGAAATTAATTTAGGACTTTAAAAACAAATTTAAACCGCCTTCTTTAGCATACGTAAAACAAAAATGCAACGTCTGTAGTAACTTTTTTCAAATATTTAAATGTCATCTGAAAACGAGGGAGGAAAATATACATGAATTAATATTGTTAATAGATTAAAAAAGCATTAACTTTAAGAATAAACAATAAAAATGGTTTCATTCCAGTGTCAGTATAAATGAAATAACCCAATGTGTCCTGACTTTTGGGCCACCCTGTATACAGACAGTGAGTTCACCGATTGGCTGACGATGCGATGATAACAATGACTCGGAGTGTCTAGCTCAGTGTGTGACTGCTGCGGTCCACTCGACAGACCCAGCAACTGACTTCACGAGCTAAGCTGACCCGGGGACTCGACAGAGACTTGCACCACACCGCCATCGAGCACACTCGAGCTTAGGACTACGATAACGATACAAACAAAAACCCCCACAAAGTCTAAATTGACACCGCACCCTCCACACGCATCCACTCGCTCACCGCTCACTCACGACCCACCCAATCACCGCTCGCCCACTTCACTAGCCACCCACTCGCCACGTGATAATTTCCGCCCATTCACTCGCGCGTGCCATTAACAGCACCTCCCTGCCCCGAGTCGATGTTGTTTGCAAACTCCACAGTGGTTTGGGCTGATGTTAGGACACACGGGGGTGTTGGGGGTGATTCTTAGATAGCAGAGGGGGGGCGGGCGGGCTGTGACCAGAGGATACAGCTCCCCCGTCATGCCTTGCAACGTGACACGACAACACCGCGCTGCGTGTGTCAGGGGTTCAACTCGTAACACTGCACCGCTGTTGCTGCTGCACGGTATCCGCTCGCTCTCGATGAGAGAAAGCGAGCGAGAGAGAGAGAGGACGACTCGGACGCGCCAGGGAGCAACCACAGATGAGCGGGAAAGGGAGCCAGGCAGTGAGGCGGCACAGACGTCCTCACCCCCAAGCTCTGCGAACTTCTCGATACATTAAGGCGTTATCGACCGACGAATGAGTGTTTACATGCGGGAGGAAACCGGAGCACACCCGAAAAAATCCACGCGTGCGAGGGGGCAACGCTCTATCCCCATACAGATGGGACAGGCGGAGTCCACACACTTTCTTGCCGTACTACTGCATTCTCCTGGCTCCTCGACGCCCGACCACGGGAAGGGAGATTCACAGCCATCTGTGTGGTGATCCACCACCCCTCGATGCTGCTGGCTGCTGTCTCCGCAGTGCTGGATCACAGAGCAGCCGCCGCGTGCATAGCCGCCAGCAACGAGCGGCTGACTGCACCGCGACCTTTTTCTTTAGCCGACTCATAGCGTATCGGTGTTGTGGCCGCCGCTCCATTTGACAGCGGGCTAATGGAGACGAGAGTGTGCACGTACGTTGAGCTTCTGTCGCACCGCACGTAACCACCGGACCGAGCGATTGCGCAGCACAGCGGTTTCGTCCTTGCTTGGATTCATCATTCGTCAGGAGGGCATCGCCACCGTGGCCTACCGCTTGCTGCGGCGGGTCCTCGTGTCGTGAACGAGACCTCCGTGCTCACGGTGGCAGTGTGGGAGGGGGGGGGCAGTCTGGCGGCCCCTACCCAAGGGTTGACGGTCACGGCCGTCCGTCGGTGGCAGGGAGAGGGGGGGGGCCGGGGCGACTCACACCACCCTGTGGGGGTCCCACAGGGTGGAAGTATTACGTCTGACAGCGTCACGTCGAAGCGCGTCACCTCCCCCCCCCACCCCAAAAAAAGTGCGGGGGCCCAGGGCAGTCGTCCCGATTCGCCGTCACCCCAGGGGATAGTTCTGGCGACAGTAAAATCAAACGCTGGGCAAACTCTCTTCGACCACGCGCCGTCATTATTCATTCGTCGTTCACGGGCGGTTGTTTGATTGTCCACGGTGGTAGAGCTGTTCCATTGATAGACCGGCGCCCGTCATAGGAATGTCGAATTGACCCAGGGCCGTGAATGCGGACGAGCTCTATTACAACGCGACACGCTCGCTGTCGGCGTGAGCAGGAAGCCGCCCACTCACCGCCCCCCTCCTGAACCCCCAGTGAGAAAACCACAGCAGCAGCCCCCCCCTCTCTCCTGTGAGCCCTTCCTGGGGTATAAGCCGCTCCCACACCGATACAGCTCGGACGACAAACACACGCACACACTCACCGACTCGCACTCATAGCCACGCCGTGCTGTGCCTCACTCTCATACAGACACCCTGACTCCCTCACTCTCACAGACTCACACATACACCACTCACTCACTCTCACAGCCTCACACCTACACAACCCTCTCACAGACTCACACCTACACCACTCTCTCACTCACTCTCACAGACTCACACCTACACCACTCTCTCACTCACTCTCACAGACTCACACCATCCTCGCAAAGGCTTGTCACAGGCACACCACTTTCTCTTACCTCGCACACACACCATGCTCACACTCACTAACACACACATCATGCTCCGCTTGTGCTCCGGCACCAATTGACCAACTCACACATTCACTCTCTCACACTCACTAACACACACACACATTCACTCTCACACGCACTTACACACACGCACACACATTCACTCTCTCACACTCACTAACACACACACATTCACTATCACACTCACTAACACAAGCGCACGCACATTCACCCGCACACTCACTAACACACACGCAAACGCATTCACACTCACGAACATAATTACTCATACACGCTCTCACACTCTGCGTCTCTATGCTAAAGCGGCTGAGACTCCGGTTTGGCAAAGCGGTACCGACTCCACCCACATCCGCTGTGTTCATCCACCGTGTACATCCACCGTGTTTATCCTTATCCACCGTCTTCATCCACAACCACCGTGTTCATCCACCGTGTTCATCCACAGTGGTCATCCACACCCACCGTGTTCATCCACATCCACCATGTTCATCCACCGTGTTCATCCACATCCACCGTGTTCATCAACAGTGGTTATCCACACCCACCGTGTTCATCCAGTGTTAATTCACACCAACCGTGTTCATCCACATCCACCGTGTTCATCTACACCATCCACGATGTCCACTGTGTTCTTCCAGATGATCACATTATCGAGATCCCTCTTTCCTGCGCTTTGCCCACGTGAACACTGTGCACGTGGAGTCCGGCATGCTGCCCTAACCCTGACCCCTGACCCCAACCCTACCCCTGACCCCAACCCTACCCCTGACCCCAACCCTATACCCCTGACCCCAACCCTATACCCCTGATCCTAACCCTACCCCTGATCCTAACCCTACCCCTGATCCCAACCCTATACCCCTGATCCTAACCCTATCCCTGATCCCAACCCTATACCCCCGACTCCAACCCTATCCCTGATCCTAACCCTACCCCTGATTCTATCCCTACCCCTGATCCTAACCCTCATCCCTGATCCTAGACCCTACTCCTAACCCTACCTCTAACGCTAACCATACTCCTAACCCTGTCTCTATCCCGATCCCTAACCCTACTCATGTCCCTAACGCCCAACTCTATCCCCAGGACAGGGCGGGCAAGGCTGCGCGGCGGATCGAGGAGCAGGACACCCCAGGACCTCAGCAGGAGGCGCCTCACGTCGTGCGGACGGTCAGTGAATGAAGTGAGAGCGTGAGTGAGAGAGCGAGCGGGTGAGCTGGTGAGCGGGTGAGCGGGTGAGCTGGTGAGCGGTTGCGTGAAGGGGTGAGGGAGTAAGGGCGGGGTCAATGAGCGGCTGACTGATGGGGTGAGAGAGTGGGTGAGTGATGGGGTGGATGACTGACATTTGTAAAAAAGAGCTTTATAGCTCATCGGATTCCACCAGGATGAATATTCTGATTCCGACTCTGACTGAGGGGTGAGTGAGGGGTAAGGGAGAGGATGACATTTGAGGGGTGAGTGGGCGGGGGAGATAAGTTGACACAGGGACACCGAGAGACACCAACAGTTGTGAGTGCAATGGAAGATAACGATGGTGAGGAGGAGGGGTGATTGCGATGGTGATGGAGGAGCGGAGGGATGAGTGCTCAGCGTATCCGATGCAGGAGGAAGTGCCCCTCCCTGCCTGCCTTTCCCCGCGGGGTCTCACCGCCGCGCATGCCCTTCCCTTCTGCCCACAAACATGCATACACTCACACAAACACATACATACACACATGTACACAAACATTCATACACTCATACAACAACATACATACACACATGTACACAAACATTCATACACTCACACAAACACATACATACACACATGTACACAAACATTCATACACTCACACAAACACATACATACATACACACATGTACACAAACATCCATACACTCACACAAACACATACATACACACATGTACACAAACATTCATACACTCACACAAACACATACATACACACATGTACACAAACATTAATACACTCACAAACACATACATACACACATGTACACAAACATTCATACACTCACACAAACACATACATACATACACACATGTACACAAACATTCATACACTCACACAAACACATACATACACACATGTACACAAACATTCATACACTCACACAAACACATACATACACACATGTACACAAACATTAATACACTCACACACGCACATACATACACACATGTACACAAACAATCAAACACTCACACACGCACATACATACACACATGTACACAAACATGCATACACTCACACACACATACGTACATACACACATATACACAAACATGCATACACTCACATAAACACATACATACACACATGTACACAAACATTCATACACTCACACAAACATACATACACACATATACACAAACATTCGTACACTCACACACACACACACGTACATACACACATGTACACAAACATTCATACACTCACACAAACACATACATACACACATGTACACAAACATTCATACACTCACACACGCACATACATACACACATGTACACAAACAATCAAACACTCACACACGCACATACATACACACATGTACACAAACATTCATACAAACACATACATACACACATATACACAAACATTCATACACTCACACACACACGTACATACACACATATACACAAACATGCATACACTCACACAAACACATACATACACACATGTACACAAACATTCATACACTCACACACGCACATACATACACACATGTACACAAACAATCAAACACTCACACACGCACATACACATGTACACAAACATTCATACACTCACACAAACACATACATACATACACACATGTACACAAACATGTATACACTCACCGAAACACATACATACATACACACATGTACACAAACATTCATACACTCACACACGCATATACATACACACATGTACACAAACAATCATACACTCACACACGCACATATATACACACATGTACACAAACAATCACTCACACACGCACATACATACACACTTGTACACAAACATTCATACACTCACACACATACATACACACATGTACACAAACATTCATACACTCACACACACACGTACACAAACATTTATACACTCACACACGTACACACATGTACACAAACATTCACACTCACACAAATACATACATCCATACAATCACACACATATACACAAACATTCATACACTCACACAAACACATATACACAAACATTCATACACTCACATACACTCACGTACACCCATAAACACAAACATTCATACACTCACATACACAGAACCCCGTTGAGCCGACGAGGCGAGATGCACTCCCTACTACGTGCGGTGAGTATCTGTCACACGCGCGGGTGACTCACTCACGAGTTCACCCACCCGCTCACCCGTCTGCTCACCTACTCACCCGTCGATTCTCTTATTCAACCGCGCGCTCACTCGCTCACCCACTCATGATCTCATCCATCCACTCGCTCGCCCATTCACTCACCCATCCTCTCATTTACCCACTTAATCGCTTGCTTTATTATTCGTTCACCCACTCAATTCACTCATCCATCAATCTCTCACTCATTCAGTCGTTTATCCACTTCACTCACCCAACTGTTCACCCACTTGCTCACACAACCACTCACTCGCTCACCCACTCTTCTACTCACCCGCCCGTTCACTCGCTCACTCACCCGCCTGCTCACTCACCCGCCCGTTCACTCGCTCACTCACTCGCTCACCCGCCCGTTCACTCATTCACCCGCCCGTTCACTCATTCATCCGCCAGCCCGCCCGCCCGCCCGCTCGCTCGCTCACTCACCCGCCCGTTCACTCATTCACCCTGCCCGCCTGCTCGCTCACTCACTCACCCGCCCGCCTGCTCGCTCACTCACTCACCCGCCCGCTCACTCACCCTCCCGCTCACTCACTCACCCGCCCGCTCACTCGCTCACCCGCCCGCCCGCTCGCTCACTCACCCGCCCGCTCACTCACTCACTCACCCGCCCGCTCACTCACTCACCCGCCCGCTCACTCACTCACCCGCCCGCTCGCCCATTGGCTCGCTCGCCCGCCCGCCCGCTCGCCCGCTCGCTCACTCACCCGCTCACTCACTCGCCCACCGCTCACTCACCCGCCCACCCGCTCACTCACCCGCCCACCCGCTCACTCACCCACCCACCCGCTCACTCACCCACCCACCCGCTCACTCACCCACCCACTCAGCAGTGGGGCGTGTTCATAATTGTGTTCGTTGGTGGACGGATGTGGCCTCGACTGTGAATGAGCTCGCGAGTGCTTACTTACCTGCCGCCCGCAAACTCACCTTGATGCTCACCAGCTTCTCCTTTCCCTCACCTGCTGCACTGTAAGCTCACCCTTCGTTCGTAAGCTCACCCTGCTGTAAGCTAACTTTTCTGTCCGTAATAATTGGGTTCTGCAAATCTCTTTCTTGCAAAACCGGTAGAACCCGGATACCGATTAACCGCACGTGCGAATGTGTATCCCGATGTAGCTTTAACTTTGACAGCTGAGAAGTTAACGTAGCTGCTGCCAAAGTGGCGTCGTGGTCAGCACCCCGGATTTGCAATCCTGCAATCCTGCAATCCTGCAATCCTACAATCCTAGAGAGTCGCCGGTTCGATTCCCTCTCTCGGCGCGGTAGTTCTATAAACCCCAATTCTTTGTTTTAACCCTCCCCAACCTCCCAACCTATTTTCTGTCCACCCACCAAGAATGGGTTCACCATGGTGGGGTAAAGTGTGGGTAACCCTACCCTCCCTACCCTCCACCTCTTCCCAGACTTCTAGTCCCGCGTGGAAGAGTCGTCCAAATACGCTCTCGAGCTCCACCCCCTCCCCCCCCTCCGTCATCAGCAGCAGTGGCGAGAACGAGCAGTTGCGGGGCTGCGCCCTTTCATCCCTTTAAGCTGAGACGCGAGACGGAATGAACCGCGCGGTGACTTGGGCCGCCCGTGCCCACGTTTGTTTTTCCGCGCGAGCCAATCTGTGCATTGATTTCTATAATTCCAGGCCATTGCCATAGAGTCAACATTGGTGGGGATCAAATCTTCCAGAAAAAAAATCTAAATTTGAAAACGAATTTCCTGGACTTTTTTTTACAATGTCTAATAGTGTATTGTATTACATTGCTCTGTTTTTTCTTTTTTACCTTTTCTTGTTTCATTGTATGTAATGGCAGAGATTGGGGATTAATAAAGTACAACCATAACCACAATCATGTTAACAGAAATCTATTTTATAGCAATATATTGGGGGGGACATTTTGAGCATATTTGAATATCGGGGGGGATGTGTGTCCCCCAATTTCTATTATAATTACGGCCTTGCTACAATTCCACTCAAATCAGTTTACCCGCTCCTGTCTACCCCCCCCCCCCCTCCTGTATTCTCATCCCTCTGCCTGTAAGCTCACCCTCTGTAATCTCACCCTCTTCCCTGTAAGCACACCGCTTGTACGCTCACCCCTCGGCCTGTAACATCATCCTCTGGATGCTCACCCTTTTGCGTGTAAGCTCTCACCCCCTCTGCCTGTAAAAGCTCATCCTCTCTAAGCTCTCCGTTCTGGGTGTCAGCTCACCACCCCCCCCCCCCCCCCCCTTGCTGCTGGTCCGACAGGAGAAGTGTTCGCTCCTCGGAAGCCTCCGAGGCCTGGGGCACCATCGGTGCCCGAGGGGGGCCTGGGCGGAGGAGAGACGCAGCTCACGGGAGCCAAGGTGACTCACCGGGGTTGTTGTGATTGCTGTGTGCAGCGTGCTGTGTTGTGACGCGTACGGACGGCGTGCTGTGTTGTGACGCACACAGACGGCGTGCTGTGTTGTGACGCACGCGGAAGGCGTGCTGTGTTGTGACGCGTACGGACGGCGTGCTGTGTTGTGACGCGTACGGACGGCGTGCTGTGTTGTGATGCACGCGGACGGCGTGCTGTATTGTGACGCACGCGGACGGCGTGCTGTGTTGTGATGCACGCGGGCGGCGTGCTGTGTTGTGACGCGTACGGACGGCGTGCTGTGTTGTGATGCGTACGGACGGCGTGCTGTGTTGTGACGCACGCGGACGGCGTGCTGTGTTGTGACGCACGCGGGCGGCGTTCTGTGTTGTGACGCACGCGGACGGCGTGCTGTGCTGTGACGCGTACGGACGGCGTGCTGTGTTGTGATGCACGTGGACGGCGTGCTGTGTTGTGATGCGTACGGACGGTGTGCTGTGTTGTGACGCACGCGGACGGTGTGCTGTGTTGTGACGCACGCGGGTGGCGTTCTGTGTTGTGACGCACGCGGACGGCGTGCTGTGTTGTGACGCGTACGGACGGCGTGCTGTGTTGTGACGCACGCGGACGGCGTGCTGTTGTGACGCACGCGGACGGCGTGCTGTGTTGTGACGCACGCGGGCGGCGTGAGTTCGAAGCGTGGTGAGCGTGCAGGCGGGTGAGGGTGCAGCGTGGTGAGTGTGCAGGCGGGTGAGTGAGTGAGTGTGCGCGCGGCGTGCTGTGTGCAGGTGCAGGCGGGCGAGCCGGTGGTGCTGGGCCGCACGGCGCCACGTGAGCGCGCAGGCGACGTGGTGTTCGCGTGCGTCACGCGGGTGGTGCAGGCCGTGCTGCAGCTCAACTCGCGCTCCGCGGACGCGAGCTCCGACGACCTCGTCGCGCTCGTCAAGGTGGTGATGCCCCCCCCCACCAAGAGGGTCCTGGTTCAGATACATTTATCACACTTTAGTAGTTTTTTTTGGTAGCTACTAGCAGTGCCGGATTAGGCTAGTGCGGTGCCTGTAGCATATGTTAAAAGATTAAAACACAAATGTTTAACTTGCACAGTAAAGTAATTGTATTTTTTTCATTTGCTATACAGCCAGATAATACGACAAATCGCTAACCTTAAACACCCATTCGTTTATAAAAGTTAAAGGCAGTATAGTACTATAGTAATAGAGCAAGTGCAGGATCACTGAACTGGAATTGATAGCTTGAAAGCGTTTAGCGAGGGGCCCTTGAAAGTGCGGGGCCCGTAGCTTGTGTAGCTACGACATATGTAGTAGTAGCTACTGCATATGTAGTAGCCTATCATCTCTAAAACACATATGTAGTAGCTACTTGTGCTACGAGATTAATCCGGCACTGGCTGCGAGACTGGAAGTAGGAGGCCGCACGTGGCTGAAAGCTTCATCCATCGTGATGGATATCTTGGATGTGGCGTGCCAGGCTCACCTCCGGTTAGCACGGTTGGCTAAGTACGGTGCAAAATAGTTAAACATTAAATATTTTCCGGCTTGCCGGTAGACTGGAGTAGGTAGCACGTGGGCTGCAGAAAATGGATGTGGTGTTCTGGATATAAACAGATTTGATATGCCTCCGAGCCTCGACAGACCTGGCCGAAATTAAACCCTGCTCCTACATTGAGTTGTTTGGTCATTTGCCTCTCAGACAAGTGCTGCTGCTAATGAAATCACACGCGCCTATCATCTCTAAAACTAGGCCATACATTAAACTTTTTTATAAAGAATTGTTTTGTTTAAATATAATTTTATTGTATTTCTACATACGTGACTTTACCGAAAAAGCCAATAAGTAAACTTTTTATGTTATCAGGTAAGGCCCACTGAGCTATATAGCTCATTTTCAGAAGCGACCTGGCGACAATGACAGCTCAACGAAGTGGCTTTTCACGTGGAAATGTATAGCAGCCAAATGCTCTAAACGCGTGATGTTGATTTAAAATGTGGAGGTAAAGACCGGAGGAAAATCCATGCGACCATGGGGGAGACCGTGCAAACTCCAAATATAAAGACGTCAGGGATCGAACCCCACAACTTGGGTGCATACCAGGTAAGGTAGTTAACATCGCGTTACTGTGGCGCCCCACCTCTATCTGGGATGAGCCATCTGTAGAATGCTGATTGATGTTGGTGGTGCTTGTGGTCGTGGTGGTGTCCACCCTGCAGACTGCGGGGGAGGCTCTGCGCGCGCTCCTCTCCGCCGTCGAAGAGGAGCTGCCCTCGCTGCCCCTCGACTCCCATCGCCAGGTGGGGGTCGGACCTACGTGGCGCCACATCCACCACCCACCAGTGCCGAATTATCCTCGGAGCACATGTAGCTACTACATATGTACTACATATGCTAGGGGCCCCGCGCTAAATGCTTTCAAGCTATCAATTCCGGTTCGGTGATTCTGCACTTGCTCTACTACTATAGTACTATACTGCCTTCAACTTTTATGAACGACTAGGTGTTTAAGGTTAGCGATTTGTCGTATTATCTGGCTGTATAGAAAATTAAAAAATACAATTGCTTTACTGTGCAAGTTAAACATGTGTTTGAATCTTTGTTTGTAATTTAAGGCCCCTTTATAACATACGCTACAAGCCCCGCACTCGCTTAATCCGCACTGAGCGCCACAACCACCCCCTCCACCTTAGCCGTCACCAACCACTCTGCCCCGTTGTAGTGCGAGGGGGCAAGGGATTGTATCTCTCTCAGCTCGATACGGTCTCGTCGTGAAGGCTTTGGGACGCCACAGCGTTCCCCCTATGGTAGGTGCCTGTAACGCTTTCAGGCTCATGTCCAACGCCAGTGATGAATAATTCAGAACCGGTCCTGGGCCTCCCCTCGGTCGACTTAGCCTCGAGTACCTGGTACGATGCGTCGTCACTAGAGAAACAAAGGCGTCCGGGCGTGGTGTTGGCCACCCACCCCTTCGCGCGCCGCGTCTTGTCTTCCATACACTCGCTAAACCACCACTTGCCGCCGGTTTGTTCAGGCGATAACCTTCCGTCTTCGCACGCACTCGCCCCACTGTCGCCTCTCACACAGGTGGAGATGGGGGAGCGGCTGCTGAACGCCGACCTGGGCCGCCTCATCGGCAGCCTGCGCACGGCACAGCAGTACGCCGACACCACGGTGGCGCAGGGGCTTCGTAAGCCCCTGCTGAACCACGCCCACGTGCTGGCCATCGACGCCAAGGCCCTGCTCGATACTGTGGACCAAGCGCGAGGGACCGTGCCCCCCACCCCAACGAGCCAGGCGCCCCCCTGAGTCGTGCCAACGCCTGGGCCAAGGTGGAAGATGGCGCAGTGCCCAACCCAAGTAGCACTTTGTTGAGCTGGTGGAACGGCCTTAAAGAAAAATGTCGCACCAGCCCCATGGCTAAACTACTGCCAGCAGCAGAAGCCTCTGCCGGCACCGTTAGAGATGAGGGCAGCTAAACACCACCCGAGACCCCTTGCCTTGTCCCCGATTAACCCCTTCCACAATCTCACGGGTGAGCCTGAAAACAATTCCCTGACCCCCTCCCCCCAACCAAAAGGAGTCTTATTGGTGGCGTCAGAGGCATTTGCACGATTCTCGTTGTGTACACTGTTCTTATTAAAATCTCGTAATCTATGATCGTGTTTCTACCAGTGTCTTAAGCACCACACAGCACATGTGCTATCAACACGTCCAATAGACCAAAATGCATTCTAACACGGCACCAGCTGAATATCACGGAGGCGATATCAGTGTAACCCACCACTGCACATAATGTAACGCTGCACCACATTCTACAAGTATCATAAAGTCCATCACAGCACCACACATTCGAACACCCCACATTCCTGAACATGTTCAAAACATTTCTGTGGTTTTCACACCTGATGATCGCTTGTGTTGCAGTCGAAACGTCGTGATAATTTTATCATTTTATTGTTTCCCTTCCACCTGACTTTACCGAAAGAAGCAAGAATATGTTCAAAGAGCTTCATAGCTCATTGTATTCCTCCAGGCTAAATATTCTGACAAATGGATCAAATCCACCAGAGCATACGTGACAACACTGAACACATTCTAACAGGGCACCACGCAGGACAGCTTTGTTATCGCAACGATTTTATTGCCAACGGAGTCAGAGGCCTAGTCAAACAGTCCGAAGCCCATGTCATCATCTTCTTCTTCGTCAGACTCTTCCTTCTTTTTCTCCTCCTCTTTCTTTTCTGCAGCTGTTTGTGGACACACGTGCACACACACAAACATTAATGAACACGTGCACACTTACGCTTTGGTTCTTTCGGTAAAGTCATGTAGATAGAAAATTTATAGACCACGACGTTTCGACCGCAACACAAGCAACCGTCATCAGGTGAAACAAACACAGCAGGAGAACCGACGTAGGAAACGTGCACACTTGTACATATAAATCATAGGAGGGAGACCATCAGTACGTTAATGGACTAATATAATCGACTACTTTTTAAAGTTGATTATACGAGCTCCTGCCTCATTAAGGCAACTTCTATTTGTGTATTCATATTAGTCGAATAATTGAACCGATCATTGGCAATGACTTCGATTAATGGGGAGAGCCCAGCCCTAAACACAACTCGGCGTGCATGACTAAGGCTGGCAAGGCACTCAAGCTGCCAGCATCGCGCATAGCTGTGTCCGCTCATGTCTGATATGCTCTACACCAGATATTTAAGGCTGAGTTAACTTAAGGTGGGAGCCTGCCATGGTGTCCAATGGTTAGCTCACTGGACATTGTATTCTAGAGATAATTGGGCACACCATAGTGGGCACATGACGTGTGGTGGGGGTGTACTCCCACCTATTCCAAGTGTCTGACGCGTGAAAAGAGGCCAAAATACTCTCCAGAGCTCCCTCGAATGGAAGTCTTTCCACAAGAAGTGGCATTGACAATTGGTTATGTAAAATTTACAAATGTCAAGGAGGCCTTGGGAGGAATAATGTGCCACAGATGTTATCTCGAGATGAACTAGTTTTCTGGCACTGTGATGCAGTCAAGGATTTATATCAGCTAGGTCTGTGCTAGTGAGATTAAAAAAGTATTGGTTGCAGTGTGCCAACCAATCCACCACCACTATCCACGCACGCGTGGTTACCTGGTGCTGGGCCGCCGGCGGGAGCTCCTCCCGCAGACGCTGCTGGCGCTGCGCCTCCGGCCCCCACGTTGCAGATGAGGCTGCCCAGGTCAATGGTGCCCAGTGCCTGTACAAGCACACGTCATCAACACCATGAATAACATGTACCACCAACACACCACACACGCACCATCAATACTTACACCACAAACACCATCATGCGTCACTAAACCGCACGCCATGAATATTAGACACCTTATGTGCAGTACTGCCCAGCTCTGGACCCAAAGGCTGATAAAACTAAAATTTTTTAACTATACTATTTTTATGTTATCAAGTAAGGCCCACTGAGATATTAGCTCTTTTTCCAAAGCGACCTGGCCACAAACGATAGCTCAGTGAAGTGGCTTATGTGGAAACTTATTGCAGCCAAATACTCTAAACGTATGTTTCTAAATGTGGAGCGTAAAAACGAAAGACCCAGAGAAAAATACATGCAGGAGAGAGAAATATGAGAACACGGAAACTCCAAATATATAGGCGTCAGGGTCGAGATGGAACTCACAACCTCCTGCATACCAGGTGAGATAGTTAACATCTCGGCGAGGTGCCCCGTGAGCGATTCAGTTATATGTCGGTGGTTGAGTGCACACACAGGAGCTGAGTGCAGTTATGAGTGGTTATGATTTTGGTTGTTACTTTCAGTTTAATATCGTTCTTGATAATCGCTTGAGAAATAGGGGTCAACAATCCTCAGGTTATTATTATTATAATCCTCAGGTTACAAACCCTTGCTGACCAGCGTGGTCAAGTCTACCACATAGTTGACTGATGCAATCGTTGAACATGTGCTGTTCTACCGGTAACCCTTCTGTTTTTCTAACACACTCCAACCACAACACTGAAAGTGGCCATGTATAATTTCTGTCCATCCGTCGATAACAGGGGTGGGTGGTGGCACTATCACTCTCGTAAAAATGGAAATACGAACCAAACCTGATGCCCGTATATTTGGAGTGTGCATGTCTTTCCCAAGTAGTCGAGTGGATTTATCTCTGGGTCCTCTTGTTTTTCCCTCCACTTTTAGAATCAACATGCATTTGGAGTATTTGGCTGCAATACATTTCGAAATAAGCCACTTTGTTGAGCTATCATGTGTCCAGGTCACTTATGAAAAAGGGCTATATAGCTCAGTGGGCTTTACCTGGTAAAATAAAAAATATTTTTAGTTTAAAAACGGCCAAATTGATCAAAGAGATGCCCAGAGAAATTAAAGAGGGCCCCCTCTTAGGCATCCTTGGCCACTCTCGCCAGGGCGCGCGACGCTCTCGTCCTGGGCAGAGGCGCCATCCGAGCCCTGTGGTATTACCGGTGCAAACACGGTGACCGTTATCATTCGTCAAAAACTGCCGAGGACAAATGCATTGTTGGAAAGTGTCATATAGATGGTCCATGTTAATGTATATATTTATGTTTGCGCACTGTCGTGCAGTATCGTTTAAATGATTTAAAATTATTACAAAATCCATGTATGCAACGGTTTAACATTGTTGTTGTGCAATACATTTAAAATTACAGCTATTAAATACTGTTGTAGAATGTAAAATTCCACAAAAGTATTTGAAAGTGGATTACATTTAAGTGAGTGGAGTTAATTGCACATCAATTTGAGTAACCGGATATACCCCATCACCATATGGGCTCCCAAAGAGGTTTTAGTGTAAATCTTACACTCGCACAAATTTACATTTGTAGGCAATGCCAATCAATTCCATTAAAGTGAAACGCATTCAAACACTTTATATATCAATGGTAATCTGTAAATTCAAACCTGTTAATTCGTTTGCTTCGTGGTGTTTGAACTCCACAACCCCTACACTACTGATCCCCTCGCGCAGCTTACCCACCCCCCCTGCACTACTCACACCCCCGTTCACCCCTCCTGCACCATTCACACCCCGTTCACCACTTACACCACACCGCGTTCACCACTCACACCACACCCCCTGCACCACTCACACCCCCCTGCACCACTCACACCACACCCCCTGCACCACTCACACCACACCCCCTGCACAACTCACCACACCACCTGCACCACTCACACCACACCACCTGCACCACTCACACCACACCCCCTACACCACTCACCTTGGCGAAGAGTCCGGGCCAGAAGGGCTCCACTGTGACTCCAGCTGCCTTGATCAGCGCGTTGATCTTGTCTTCCTACAGAGGTGAGAACACACGAGGGGGTTCACATTCACTATCTCAAACAGCACACACGCGGTGTTCACGCGTGCTCTGCAGTATCGTTCACACGTGGTGTTCACGCCTAATTTGCCGTATTGCGTAAATGTGGTGTGCTCGTGCGTACACGTGATGTTAACCCACGCCATCGCGCTCGTAGTCATGGGTCAAGGCTACAGCAGTAGACGGCTGTCCCGACAACAGGGTGGCTACTCTGGAGTCCAAGAAGAAACTCCATATTCTACAACCAGGGAGGTGGGGAAACATTCCTTACTAGGGGCAGGAGAGCAACACTTTCAAGCAACTTTGGGTGGGCGGATCGCACAACTTCCACCCTGCCTGAGCGATGTCTTACCGTCAATGTGACAGAAGTGACTTGAGTACGCCACAATTACATAACGGTGTTTTGCCAGACCAAACATAGGCCATTCTAGTACCCAACCAGTGCGGCTAAGATGCTTGCATCTTCTATATGCTAAGAGGCTTTAATGTGACCACGGGCATAAGTTAAAGTCACGAAAACAACGTCATGGGCCCCGGGGACATGCGAAGATCGGAGGCAGAGTTTTAACCAGAGCCACTCGAGGCGTTTTTAGACGACCCGGCCTCCACGGAGAACCACGTGGGTTTCGGCTGCATCAACAAGAGGGCCGACTCGAGTTAAAACCATTGGCTTGCACAAGACTCGTTGTGGCCACCACTCCAGCCTTTGTCTCCCCTCGGTGTTGACGCGTGCACTTTCGCCGGGTACCCAATTGAGACAGGGTTTACCTAGCGAAGGCCTAGGACCGGCATAAGACTCCACGTGTTACTCATGTGCCCAATGGCCGAGTTAGAAGGCATGCAACCGGCTCCGTGGGCGCGGTGGACGAGACAAGCCAACAACCACCATCACCACAACCACTCACATCACCATCACATCGCCCACCACCAGATACCTTAACAGCTACACTAGCCAGAACCACCACACAGACAGTACAGTACTATCACCGCCATCCTTCCTCTCTCATCAACACCACCACCTCCAGAACCCTATGACCACTAACACGACTAAAATCTGATTCCTCACTACCTCGCCCATCACCCAAACGCCGCATCACCGACCACAGCGACCCCGCCAACACGAGTTCCAACCGCGATCACCGCCTCCATTACCACCAAACTTCTCCCATCACTACCCCCGTGTAAATACTTTACCCAAAACCACTCCCAAATCACTTGTATTTGTTTTCCCCTCATCACAATCAAATCCATATCCGATCACCCCCTCCCCTCCTTAAG